CAGGTCTATAATCTAGGGGTAATCTTAGAGACAGACTCAACCCCCATGAAGATGTCACTATGGAAAAACCTATGCATCATGTGAACCCTTAAACTTTGAGATTTAAGTGGTGCACTGGTCCATGTTTGGGCTCCTGTACTGAGGACAATGTCACCCGTAGAGGATGCCTTGTAACATGCAGATTCCATAGGCGACAATGAAGGATTTAAGAAGCTTTTGATCACAGAAGTAGCTGAGACATCATTTTAGAGCAATGTAAACATGGCCAGTGTAAACTCACTGCAGAAATGTTTTCTATATTTGCAAAGAAGTTTTTGATTCAAGTGCCACCACACCAGCCTTCCTTCGTTTTTCCCCACAGACACATTTGGAACACCCTTAAAATTCAGGCTAGGAGGTAGAAAATAAGACTAATTTAGAACAAATAAAAGATATGGAAATGGAGAAGCAGGATAAAAAGGGTAACTTTGGCTAAGAGGACTTTCAGCTTTGGGGCGTGGCTGGGAAGGAAGGCTTGTCTAAAATATTTCCTAAAGGAGTTTTGTGGACTCTCAAAATGGCAGTTTTCATGCAGCAGAGCACCACTCATTTCAGAAGCTTAAAACAATGACTTTAAGACAAGTGTATTTACCCGTCTGCACTGGTATTCTTCTTACCCATTGTTCCACCTCAACAGATGGAACTGAAGGCTGGGGTGAAGGTTACAGAAATAAAGATTTTTATAATATATAATAAATACATTCTAAAATAAATCTTCATACAGCGCTGTGGTTGCTTAATACACTAAGCAATGTCACATTTTTACATTCATGTTTGAGATTAGGAGGACAAAATACTTGTAGATCAGGAAGAAATAATGGACTACTACCTGGAGCTCAGAAATGATTTCTGACACTACAGTAAATCAAAAAGTGAATTGAGCATGGATGGAGATGATCAAGAAAACAAATGAAAGACAAAAATCTGATGACCTCTGATTTGTATAAAGCCTGGAGGCTACCTAAGAAGAGAGATGATGAACTTAAGACATACCGGATTCAAATCCAACAATTAAAAAGAAATCAGCATATTAAACCCAGCAACAGAGTCCTTGAAAATCAGAACTACATAGGTTTGGCAGTATTGTCATCTTGGGTGCTGCATGTCATTCCTTGATTAAGTAATTACCATGCTCAGGGTTGGTTCATGCATAGCGCCATGTAGAACTACGAACTCAGAAATGAGCACTGCCTAGAGCAGTGGTCTCCAAAGTGGGGTGCGTGCATGAGGATCCTTGGGGGTGCGTGGCAGGAGTAGCGGCTTTTTTAATTTTTATTTATTTAATTTTTTTTTTGCACGCTTCGGCAGTTCGGCTGGGAGTCCGAGCGGCTTTTTTTTTTGCGCTTTGACACGGCAGAGGGTGCGTGCTCAAAATTTCTTTACTGATGGGGTATGCGATCAAAAAAGTTTGGAGACCACTGGCCTAGAAGAGTGTTCCAAAAAGGGTATTAAGGAGGGGAATTTTGGAGGAAGGCACACATTTCTAGGAGAGAAGACAGAAACCAGCAGGACACAGGGATCAATGTGTGAATTAAATTTAAAAACAAAGGTTAGCAGGAGCAGAAGGTTTATACTGATATTAAGTACTTATATATATGCATGTATAACTGCAGGAGTCATTGTTCCAATACCCTTGGGATAGTTAACCACGCTACAAGCCTTCTGTGTTTGTACATAAAGCAGATGTTGAGCTTCTGATCTAACTGTACCACAATTTATGCAATAGCAAAATTGAAATACTGGAGTCTAGATTACTTGAAAATGAGAGTGGTCACTCTTTGCTGGACATGGTACATGAAAGTGAATTCATTTTAGGGCCATGTGGTTCTAGGGGTATTTGAAGGAAGGATTATGCTCAAATGCAGTGCTCCAAAGAATATTGGTGTAAAAACAGGTTTTGCAGTTGCTAAACTCTGTAGCAGTTCAGAATGAAAACCTAAAAGTTTGAACTGGTAAATAGTAGTGTCATGGCAAGGGACTGAGTTCTCTCTACTTCATCATCGCATCTGTGTAGAAATTGAACTATTCTATTAATGTCTCAGCTGCAACGTGGACATTGGAAACTAATTGTTGCACAAACAATGAGTCACAGCCAGTCATACGTCACTCGGTATTGTCAGCTCAGTAAGCTATCAGTTATGGAAAAATTACATAGTGGGGTCTGTGCATAGTGAACCTCCAGTTAGTGAAAATCGAAAAGACTTCAAACTGCAACTGCAGCCACGCCCCCACTTTTCTTAGAGGAAGGGGTTAAGGAGTATAGGAACTGGGGCAGTAGGGTAAGACTTCACTACATTAGACTTCCACTGGATACAGGCACTTTAAGAGCTTAAGACACACTGTGCTCAAGATAAGCATTTCAGGGTAGCTTACAGTAAAAGGACACTAGCATGGGAACTTTCACACTTCCATCGCGTGCAGCAATGGAGACATCTTCACTGACATAAAGGAGTGATCCCTCAGCATCTCAATCACCCATTGAAGGGAATGGGGAATTGCACCTGCTCCGTAGTTAGGATCAGGCCCAAAAGGCTATTACACGAATATAGCAGCCTTCTCTCTACTAGAATGTGACCCTAAAAAACAGTGGTTAGGAGGAACAAGAAAGGTGTGGGGAAGTGGAAGCAAGCTGGGGAGACTTAAGAAATGAGCATGTTATCCAGTTTCTTGCGGAGAAAATGAATCTGGGAGTTCTACAAAGCAGTTCGTAGCTAATTGGAGTTTATTTTTAATACAAGTTGAATGCTACCCTGCAAAACTTCCAGTGTATCTAAGGGGTAAGGTATAGATTTACTTTTCTTCCCCTCCCTCCACACTATGGTTTGGTGGCTACCAGCCCATCCATATTAATATCTGAAAATAATTTATGGCAGCAGCAAGACAGTGATAATTAAAAATTGATGAGAGCTTTTTGGATGAGCTAGTACATTAAGGCAATAGAGACTATACCATACTCAACTGCCTACCGTTCTCAAGTTGTGATTGTTACACATTCAACCCTCAAGCAGTGGAATGTCTTAGAACAGTTAAATTTAGCGGGAACACCAGTTCTGAGACAGTCCTTTCCCTTGGGAGTTGTCAGGCGATGGAGTTTAATGGGGAGGACTATAGGGTCCTGCTGTAGAGCAGTCTACTTTGGATAACATGAGGGCAAAAGCCATGTTTTCAAGCGTGCTGGCCAAAATGGGGAAGCTGTTAACTGGGGGTGATTCCGCATCTTTAGGCTGCTTTGTACTTGGGGGTATGAACTCTTCACAGCTTTGCATGCAGTAGTCTCCCTAACTCACTACTCTGCTAGGCTAGCAACAGCCATTAGAATTCTCTAACAACTTTAAGACTCTAAACACCAACTTATGTCACTTTAGGAAATGTATTCATACTGAAAGTAAATAAGTGAGCTATTCTGAACTAGGCTCCTCACCCTGTTTGAATGGGCAAAACCAGATACTGTAAATTAAGTACTGATTCTACACGGTTGAGGATTTTAAAAAATGAGGAGGCAGGAAATCCCAGGTTACAACCATTCCCACCCTTGTCACAGTCTTTGGAGGACTTAGCTGAACAAAGCTCTGGTATTGTTTAGTATTAAAAGGAAGAGAAACTCCACTAACTCAGTTTCCCTCAATTTATTTTGTGGGACTGTGCTTGAAGTTTAAACAGCCTACTTCAACTATTTATAATCTTTGCCTAGGCAATAGCTACCAATTATAACAGTGGCTGTCTTGCAGCCACTGAAGTTCATGCGTAACGTGCGCTTTTGGGTTACAAAAGGGCAGCAGGTATTTCAGAACTTGCTGCATAGGGCATGTCTTCATTTAGACACTTAGCAAACTGAATTTTTTCTCCAATTTGTTTATAGTGGCTATTTGGTTACTCACCCTACAAAAATGGCTACCCTTATTGTCAGACCATCTGCCCTGTCTACATGCCAAATCTTTCAGTAAATATCATTGGGCGGGATGGGCAGGAAGTGTGCTGCCCAGTCACCAAAGCAGCTGGTAAACCCTCAATATTTTTCAAAAAAAGGTATTGAATCAGATAGTTTGTGGACTAGCCACCTGGTAAGCTTAATTGGTTCAAAATCACAGTACTTCAAAAAAACTAAAACTGAAAACCTCACATTTGATTTAATTTTTAAAGCAGCGGAAGTCTGCCTCCCTTCCACCATCTCCCCCAACCCAACCAATTTAGTTTTGCTCTTTGGTAGAGCTCGTCTGTGAAACATTTTTCCCTGGAGTGATTTTTAAAAATTAGTCTGGAAGTACAAATTCATGGAGTCCTTTGAACATGTTGTTAGATCCTTACCTATTTAATAGAAGTAAACCCTAAATATTTTCTTGTACTCTTTGCTTTTAAATGAGAAGCCAGTGATGAGAGAGACATGCTGTTGTAGAAGAACTTTCTCATTCCTTCTCTCAGCCACACTCAGATACACTGAGACAATACAAAAAAATTACTCACATTTTACCTTCCTGCTTTACTTTTTAATGCAACTGGTGGTGCCTTCTAATTACCTGCCATAGCACCCCACTTCTATAGGCTCTACACAATACAATACATTTTATCTAGTGTTAGATCACATTTAATATGTTGGCATTCCAATTCCCCACTCAGAAGTATTTTACAAGGAGGGTCACTTTCTAGTCTATTTTGTATATGCGAAAATTGTGCTCATTTGAAAGCAAAGCATACTGGCAACATCACAAAATCATGGCAGGTGGTGAGTTCCCAGTCAACAACTCAATAACTTTTTAGAGGATCAGTAAGTGCTATACAATTTTTGCAACTCTTTTAGACAGTGACACCATTTTCACAATTCCCCGTGCACGCCCTACCTGATGCACACAGCCTGTTTTCTGGTGTCGAACACTGAATTTTTCTGACTAGCAAAGAGTGCTTTTGCTTATGATGAAATTTGTAAGACACACCACGAAATGCATTCTGCTGGCCTCAAACAGCAAGTGTTGCCACTTTTCCATGTAGTGCTGGAATTTGAGCATCTTCTCCCTATCCCCCTCACCCTCCAAAGCCTGCTTGATTATTTACTAGCAACACAAATAATGTTGCATGTTTCCCTGGTTTTATTTTTAAAAAAATAGCCTCCACCCCTTTCTCCTCACACATTAGCTTATCATCAGTCAGTCACACCATTGCTTGCTTTGTGCAAGTAATACACCACATAACATTCTCTTTACTCATATCTCCACTTTAGCAGATGCATGGTCTCTGATGTAAATACAAAGTAGTATAAAGAAGCAAGATTCAATTAAGACCGAGACCTAACAAAGTACCCCTTTTTAGTTTATCATGATATCCAAATTATTTATCTTTCCCCTCCTCCCCCCATACAAACAATAGTTTTTTCTCCTTCCAAGGTAGGAGGGAACATCTCTCCTACATTTTCTAGCCTGATTGTATTAAGATGAGGGCGCTTTTAGATCTTCCATGGTGCCATATCAGGAATATTAGTTCCAGCACAGAAGCCTCCCTGAAAACTCAGTTCTCTGGAGAAGAACAAAAACCCAAACAAGACAACTTTGTTTCTGTGCATGGCCAGGTTTGAATTTAGTGGTAAATCAGCCATTTTCAGATCAAATATTCGTATTGGTTCTCACAGTTTAGAGGTGAAGTCTAGCAGGCACACTTTTTCTCCTCTGGCTTTGCTGAATCTAGCTTCCCCGAGCTTCCTCCATTGGCTGTGTCAGATACTTGTGTCTTGTCAACACATTGTTCCATGCGCTTCATTATCAAGTCCAGGAGCATTTCCACAGCTTTATCCACATTTTGCCCAGTAGCTGCACTTGTTTCAAAGTATGGTATGCTAATATATAGGATATGAAAAAAATTAAAAAGCTCATTAGAAAGGGCTTAAAATGAGAGATAGGCCCCAGAGCAAAACTCTTGATCCAAATACCCTTGAACAATTTTCTTGGTGGGGGAAATAGGGAATTTTGGAATTCAAATCTGGCTGGCCTTTATTGCATTAAGTGGGCTGAACAAACCCCCAGATCTTTAACATAGAGGGTTGGGGGAATGGGTATTAATATCAAGGTAAGTTTTGAACCAACTGCCAGTTTTAACTAACTTGAAAGTTCTGGCTTCAAACCAGAATGGCAGCATTTGCATAAACTACAGCTGAGAGAAACAGGCCTTCATAAAAAAAATTTACTTTTTCCAAGGTTCTGTAAAGAACTGCAGTGCCGTCTCAGAGAGATGGAACAGGAAACAGAGACGTATTGACAATCACTGTTTAGTGCATTCAGGAGCATTTCCAGTTAAGTTTCTACAGTCACCCTCCCTCAATATTTGGCAACATGGATTTCCAGGCTTCAGAACTGAAGTATCTGCAAATTTGAAGTATTTCATACTTTTATTCACAGGCAGTCCATTTTATGTCACCAAAAGTTTCTGGGTGGAAAGTGAAGACTGTCTGTATCTACAGTAACTCTCAAGGAACATGGAAAATGCCATATCTCCAATAGAAGCATTTATCTGAAGGAAAAAGGTGCAATAACTAACTATCTACTAGACAGTTATGGAGAAGGCAACCCATAATGGGATAGAATTAAATTTTTCCTGTGGGGAGCAAGAGGGTTTTAATTTCTATTTGAAGGTTTTGTTTTTGGATTCTATTTAATGTAGCTGTGGACAGTATGAACTTTGCCTCGGATATCCTGTGTCCGTGAGTTCCACAGGTAGATTCCTGCTTTACAGATTTAAAATTGTTGCCTTTTGATTTTAATGGAACACATACGGAGAACAGGTAAGTAGGAGTGGCCACAAGGATTTTTAAAATATATACACACACCTTCTTATCTAATCTTTTCAGAGAGGAGTTTAGTCTCTTTATAGGGAAGTTTTCCCATGTTTCTGATCATTGTTGTCTACCTCACAAATCCCTCTATTTCTTCTGTATCCTTTTTGAAATGAATGACCAGAATTGAACACAGCATTCTGGGGCGGGGGGCACACCATTAGTTTATGTTACAGCAGTATATTTTCAGTATTGCTTTCTTCTCGTTCTCTATGCATTCTAGTATTTTGCATCAGCGGTCAAACAGCAACAGCAAGCAGAAGTTCTCATTGAGTGGTCACCATTATTACCAGTTCACTTTTGAGTTGTTACAGTCCATTTAGAGTGCAGCAGTATGTAGGAGTAATTCAAATTATCCCTTTCAATGTGAATGAACTTGCATTTCAGAACATGTAATTCCTCCTGCCATCGAATCATTAATTAAACAGTGCCGCCCTCTTATGGAATACTGAGTTACACTACTCTTCACATTTTGCTATAAAGTATACTATTCATTCTTACTTCATTTTCTGTCTGAGATCCAGGATTGTCACGAGTAACAAACTGTCACTCTGACCACTTAGTTTCCTTAATAATCTCTTTTGAAGGACTTTTTCAAAATACCTTTGTCAAAGTGTCGGGGCAACTGATTCTGTACTGTTTTGTAGACAAGCATAGAATCCTTAGAGATGAGGCACAGTTTTCCTTTACAGAAGCCAAGCTGCATTGTACAATCATGTTCTAGGTGGTTTACAACGCTACTGCTTTTGATTAGAGTTTCAACCAGTTTACCTGATGGTGAAGTAAGCAACACTGATCTAAAATATGAACAATGCTTTTTCAAAAAAATCAAGATAGGTACAACATTTTGCTACTCCCTAGTCCTTTGAATGAGTGGCTATTTCAAAGAGATTGTCTATTTATGCATGCAGCTTAGCCTCCTCATTCTTAAATCCAACCTGGAATTCAGAAGAATGATCATTTTACTTGTTAGAAAAAGCAACAGAACTAGAGGGCAATTTGCTCCAGTGCCCCCACTTTTGACCCCTCAAATCTTTAATATCTCATTGATCTCCCCCAAATACTCTTATGCAAGTTCATGCAGCCCTTTCACTTCTCTGCAATCCTCTGCAGTGTCCTTACTCCTTAATTGACTAAACACAATTCTTAGGCTTTCTACTTCTCATGTATCTAAATAAGAATTTTTTGTCTGATTGCTTGTTGTAGTCCCTCAGCTTTCCTCATCAAGTTCTCTGTGAATAGCCACATTAAGCCCTAGTGAATCAGATCAGGGGGGAAAAAATGACACTATCTATTTAATGAGATAAACTCAGAAAATAGCACTGAGTGTAACAGGCAGTTCAAACAATGTAAGAGTTAGTTTTAATAAATGTTCATACTATGAATTCCCAAAATTGTAACCAAATTTACTGTAATTAGAAGAGGGCATTTCTTGTATTAAGCTTTGCTCATTTAAAAACACAACAACAACAATAATAATAATAAAAAATTACAGGGCATGATTATGCAAAATTTGACGATTCTAAATTGTCCAATAGAAAAGGAGTTGAGGCCATCAGTGTGTTACACTCTCCACTTGTAAGATCTTGTAGACACTAGGTGCAATCATGACGGGTAGAGCATGTTACCAGTTTCTTTAGCCATGCAGACCTTCTCACAGTGAGTTTTAGGGCATATGCTTTTGACATTTTTTGTCCTAGTTCTCAGGACTAGCCAGCTGAATTAGAATATAGCTCTATAGTAATTATATTTTGTTTAAGCATCACTACGCTATAACACGATTCATCTTCTACAGTGTTATCTAACTTGTCAAACTTTGAAACATGTGGACCACAAATTTCAAAGTGTGACAGGGTGGGCAGCACTGTAGAAGATTTTGCACACCAGACTAATTTCTATAGCATATCAATGTTTGTAAATCTCTAACCAATCTAACTGGTTCCCCAAATTTCAAAGCTGCATGGTGGCAATTTAGGTTTTAAGAACATTACACTGATGTAGAGATCAGCTGGAGTAATTTTCCATCACAATTTACTTACCCATATTTATCTGCAAGGTCTCGTGCTTGTCTCTCATTGACTTCCCTCTGATCTGATAAGTCAGCCTTGTTACCAAGTAATACTATATCGGGATTCTCACAATATGCATTGGCTTGCAGTTGACCTAAAAAAAACAAACCTAGAGTAAAAAGTATTGAAATGCCACTAAGGGCCAAGATTTTTTGTTTAAAAAAATGAATTCTTGTACCATATGGACTTTTCATAATACATTGGCTCATTAAAGTAATTTTCTACAGGGGAAAATGGAACAGATGTGATTAGGAATTTATTTCCAGTGAACTATTCACTTCCCCTCCATACAACCTAGAAAAAGAGGAGAATCAAATGCAAATATGTGTTCTACATACAGTACTTCAGTCTACAAATAATAGACATCAGTACATTTTGGTTAGGTTTCCTTTAGTACGGACAGACATTTTCCTATTCAAAGAAACCCATTAGGAGATCACAGAAATAAATTCCAAATGCTTTTCACAAGCAGTTATTTAGAAATTTGAGGCCAAATCTTCAGCTGGGATAGAACTATGTAGATCCAATGATTTCAATATTTAAGTAATTTCCTTACGCTTATCTTTTCTTACCTCAAAAATTGGGGGTAAGAAAAGATGAGTAGCTGCAGTATATATTATGTGGAAGAAATTTAGAGGAGCAGTGTGTCAAAGTAACCACTGAAGCAGATAGATTCCAATGCATTAACTTTTCCGTAGCCAAATAGCGGACTGAAGTGGGAGCATGGCTATTGTTTTTTCTATCAATAAAGCTATAGCTTGCTATGAAGGGATTTATTTGTATTCCCATATTGCCGTTCACAGTGTTCTTCTTGTACACACAGGCCAGAATACTCCCAACTATCACGCAGAAGTTAGTTTACTAACAAACCGCAAGTTTGAATTATACAGAACCTGAAATTAAGTCTGGTCACCTTTTGCATGTTGTTTTTTCCTCCACTATAATAGCTTAACCAGTACTGGACAAGAACACACACCCACACCTCCCTATCTTTTAAACACCTTTATTTTAAATCAGGATGATCCATGCTCTCTAGCAATTTTGTTTTAACCTCGCTTTAGGTTATCTCACACGTTGCTTCTGCATCAGATATTTCTGCCTTGCAAAATAAATAAAAAATAAACCCCTCAATTGAAATATGCATAAAATACACATATATTTCTCATTTTGTTTGGCAGGCTGTGTTTAAAATCTGATGAAACACCTAACCAAACCTTAGGCACTGGACTGTATTAAAGACCAATAAATATCCTTTATACAAATAAAAATACAAGTAGAAAAATCAGAACAATGCAGCACAGCCCAAATAGTGATAATACAAAATGTAACAGTCCATAACCAGTAAATAAGATCATAATAAGCACATGTAAAATAAAATCAATCATACCATATAAGTCCCCAAAATTGACCACCACAAACCTCTTCACACAACCTCCAACCCATCCCAGAAAAGGCCAGAGGAATAGATGTGCTTTGCAGAATGCTCTGAAGTTTAACAAGTTTATGTAATTTTCCAGAGCTGGGACTTCAGAGCCCACCTACCCAAGCCATAGGTTTATGACCACCTGAAAAATATTGGACCACTCTTTGAAATTAACATTATGTAAATGAAGACATGCAATATACTGTAACCTAAAAACCACAAGAAGCTGCTAGTTATCGGATACATGCAAGTTGTTCTGTTTTACTTACTCATCCAGTTTCTGACATTTAAGAAGCTCTGTTGACTGGTGAGATCAAACATTAATAAAAAGCCCATGGCATCTCTGAAAAATGCTGTGGTGAGACTTCGAAATCTGAAGGAAGGAACAAATAAGCAGCTCTGTTAACACAGACTGACCTCTAAAATTACTAGGTAATCATTTTTAGTGAATGACTTTCTGGAGCAAAAAAACCAAACAGACAACCATCCATCAAAGGGGAGATACAAAAAAAGCTTTACTGAATCTCTTTTGCAACAGGCAGTTTTTAAAAAATAAAATCCAAACCCAGAGAAGTTGCACAATTTATCAGCCAAACGTTTTCATAATAGTCAAAAGCCTGTGGCCCTCCTTTTGGCTAGATTTATCATAGCTATCAGTAGTTACTTATCAAAGTGGGTGTAATTTACCAGAGGATGCTTAGATGTGTGAGAATGTTACGTTGTCAGTGACACATTGCTAGTTCAAATTCTCTGTCCTTTGGACTAGCCTAAAAATTAACATGTTGCTTTTTAATCACAAGAATACAGATGCATTGAGTGCATCCCTAATCACTGGGACATAAAATTGGTTCAATTGATGAACATAAGAAGAGTATTGTGAGGAAACGTTTACTTGATGGATAACCACCACCTAATATGGCAGAGATGAAAGAAGTATCTGGCCATTTAATCATAGTTTAGAATAAAAACAGTTTACTGGGAAGCTCATCTACAGAGGCCCTGATTTACCTGTAGTTGACAAGCTGAGCTCAATGAAACTTGAGTAATCTCTGAATGCACAAAGCCATGGACCCAGCACCCAAAATATAGCCCCAGTTTGCTGCCACAGGACCACAAGCCAGAGTCTCAAATAAATTAGGAAACTAAACACATTAAGAAACTTTCCTACAGAGCTAGAAAACAGAAAATGGAATTCGGTGCTCTGTCTTAAGCCACCACATAATCTGGCACATCTATCAGTAGCAGATGTGGTAGATAAGATACCCCAAGGCACATGTATCAAAATTAGAACAAACTACTGCTGCAGAAGAGAGCCACACACGCATGAGGTTTCCCAATGACAAGTTAGCTGCAAGAGTGCTACCATAAGATCTCTTTTGTAGAAGTGATGCCTTTGACAACCACATTTAGCCATACTGTATAAAAGAGACAATGGGACAGATTCAAACCAGAAAAATGGGTGTGTCTTAATAGAGGCCAATTTTAATATAGCACCATAGTAAGGGTGTTCGCTATCTACAAAAAGTATGAAGACAAGGTCCCTACCTTGAGGAACTTATAATTTAGACACAACACAGACTATGGACACAGGGATGGGTGCTTTAGCTGTGATATTTAGCATGCATCCAGTTCCTCGTTTGCCAGTCATTTATTTTGTGACCTCTCTCAGGGGAGGTCTAGGGTACAGAGCCTACGAGGTTCAGGAGGGCTTGAAAGAGAAGCATGGAAACATGGTGGTTCAAACCAAAATTAGTCTTTCCAGGTGTGGAAGCCACACAAAGGTGACAAAGGCTCAGACAATGCAGTTGCACTTGTTTTCCTCTATCCATTGAATTTTGCTGTAAGCAATTTTCCTTCAGTGCTTTCAGGTTCCCTTTAGAAGCATGAAGACAGCTTGTACTCATGGTTTCCCCTTCTCCATTTAATGAGTTGTTTTAGGCTGTTTCCCACTCCAGTGCCTCAATATTGTTTCCTGTTACATGACTGATTTCCCTTCCCCTGCCCACTTCCTGTCTCTAGGCACAGCCAATATTTAATCAAGAGTAGGCCAAGTCATATACTGTATGCTAACAAACCACCATGAACTTTACTGCTACTCCAGAGTAGCTGGGGGAAGCTTACAAAAGAAGTGAATACAGTATTTCAGTATGATCACAGCAAAGCAGCAACAGTTTAAAATTATCCTTCAGGAACAAGAGATGGATTTTTGTTTGTTGTCAAAACCAAAATCTGTGACAGAAGATCAGTGTTTTTTCTGACTCACTTGTCTAAATTTTAGAAAAATTAATAGAATTCTGATTAACTGGATATGAGATGCTGAACTCTGTACATTACCTTTCCTGCCCAGCAGTGTCCCAAAGCTGTAGATGGACCTTAAAGGTTTTTCCTGGAGATCCATTTGGTCCTCTGCTATTGTATATCTGACAAACACAGAGTAGAAACAAAGGAGTAGTCTTTTGCTTAATTTATTAATGTATTTCCCATTACTAAAATTTTGCCCTTAGCACATAGTGCTGTACTGAAACAAAAAATTCTTCAAAAACAAATGGAGAATAAGTTGGTTTATTAACTATAGCTTATACTTGCTACAGAGATTCACATTCACTAATATTCCACTTCAAAAGGGCCTCTTACAAAACAATATTTCAAAACCAGAAAACCAATACTGTCTTCTGAAGATGATTGAGTATACTTAATACTGCCATTTAGATCCCGATTCTGCTCATCTCAGTATACAAGTTGTGCTGAAATCACTTCCTAGATTTAATTTCTTTAATATGGCCTGCTGTGCATTAAAGACCTGCTTTTTGCAAAATGCTCCATTCTGGCTGTGGTTAATGCTTCCAAAACACTTCGCAATGCCATGCAAGCACTTTACATACACTAGTGAGTTTAGGGCACTTCCCTTTGAGTTAGGCAAGTATTAACATCCAAGGTTAGAGGACAAGTCAGTTGTAAAATTAGGAATGGAGCCCAGATTTCCTGATTTCCGATCCTATGCTTTATTAGGATTGCTATTGTGCTTCAAGCAAACCAAGAGCATTCTTATCTGAAGGCAGAACTTTTTTTCTACATTGTGCAATAAAAAAATATCCATTTTTGTCAAGGTCTGTGGACATGCACAATAGTTGTGTTCTATTAAAACAGTGGCAATGAATGTTAGTACACATGAAAGGAATCAGGTTGACAGCACGGAAGATTGTTATCTTCCATTTAACATTAAGGAAGAAATACACCACAGTACAAGCTAGCACACACTGTTCTACAAGTGTGTAACTGTAGCCTGAAAGGGTCACCTATAGAGGCATGAAGATAGTTCAATCTACAGCCACATTACTAAAGTGAGTCAAAGAAGTCAATAGTTTGCGCTATAGACACCTTGGGAGGCAGTATTTACAGGGGTTGGCAACCTTCGACACGTGGCCCATCAGCGAAATCCGCCGGCGAGCCACGAGACATTTTGTTTACATTGACCGTCCGCAGGCACGGCCCCTGCAGCTCCCATTGGCCGCGGACCGCGGTTCACCATTCCTGGCCAATGGGAGCTGTAGGAAGCGGCATGGGCCGCAGGGACGTGCTGGCTGCCATTTCCTGCAGCTCCCATTGGCTGGGAACAGTGAACTGCGGCCACTGGGAGCTGCGGGGGACCGTGCTTGCATACGTTCAACGTAAACTAAATGTCTTGTGGCCTGCCGGCGGATCACCCACATGGGCTGCGTGCTGAAGGTTGCCAACCCCAGATCTAGTTGGCTGAGCATTGGGCAGGAGTATCAAGACATGGGTTCTACTTCCAGTTCTACCATTTACCTGGTGTGTGATCTTGGGCAAGATACTATCGCTGTGCTCTTTCCCCTTCCATTCTTTTTCTGTCACCTTATTTCTTTAGGCTGCAAACTAATTTGTGGCAGAGGCGGGCTCTGTAATGTGTTTGTACATCAGCTAGCTAGCACAGTGGGCCCCACTGGAGGCCTTTTGTGCTAATGTAATGTAAATACATAATACCCCACTAGGATACCAGGCAGCCATCTGAGGGCAACAGCTTCTCCCCCACTCTCTTCTAATTTTGACTGGACTCAAGCCAGAAACTAAAGCAGAAAAGGCATTCTCAACACACCTTAAACCTTTCAGGAAGAAGAACTGTATACATTGACGTAAAGCACGTTTTCAACACTATTGGAAACTAGAAGAAGTGAAGACATTGATGACTTTAGAAACTTACCACACGTTTTTCCCGAAAGTCTATTCCTACTGTTGTGATGAATTTTGGGTTGAATTTGTTGTCTGTGTATCTGTAAAGGAATGTTGTCTTCCCAACCCCAGAATCCCCCAGGGCTAGGAGTTTGATCAGATAGTCATAGTCCCCATCAGTCATAGTGCTGATCTTTATGAACCTGCAGAGAGAGGAAGAACTGGTTTTAAAACAGTGATAAACATAAGAACATCCAGACTGAGTCTGACTAATGGTCCAACTACCCCAGTATCTTGTTTCTGACAGTGGCCAAATGCCAGATGCTTCAGAGAGAATGAACAGAACAGGGCAATTTTGAGTGATCCATTCCCTGTTGTCCAGTCCCAGCTTTTAACAATCAGAGAATCAGGGACTCCCAGAACTTGGGGTTGCATTCCTGACCATCTTGGCTAATAGCCACTGATGGACCTATCATCTATGATAGAGGTGGGCAAACTACAGCCCGCGGGACCCTCCTGCCCAGCCCCTGAGCTCCTGCCCTGGGAGGCTAGCCCCCGGCCCCTACCCTGCTGTACCCCCTCCCCCGCAGCCTCAGCTCGCCCCACCGCCGGCGCAATGCTCTGGGCGGATGGCTATGAGCTCCTGGAGCAGCGCAGCTGCAGAGCCTGGCCTGACCCGGTGCTCTGTGCTGCACAGTGGCGTGGATGGCTCCAGCCGGGCAGCACGGCTGCCTGTCCTGGTGCAGCCGCGCTGCCAGCCACCAGTGCTCCAGGCAGTGCAGTAAGGGGGCAGGGAGGGTTGGATAGAGGGCAGGGAAGTTCGGGGTGGTGGTCGGGGCAGGGGTGTGGATAGGGGTTGGGGTGGTCAGAGGGTGGGGAACAAGGGGGTTGAATGGGGCAGAGGTTCCAGGGGTGGTCAGGGACAGGGAGAAGGGGTGGTTGTATGGGGCAGGGGTTCTGGGGGGCGGCAAGTCAGGAATGAGAGAAGGGGTTGGATGGGGGGCAGTCAGGGGCAGGAGTTCCCGGGGCTGTCGGGGGACAGGTAGCAGGGAGGGAACAGTGGGGTTGGATGGGAACAGTGGGGTTGGATGGGACAGGAGTCCGGGGGAGGAGGGGGGCATCAGGGGGCGAGAAGCAGTGAGGGATAGGGGGAGGGGGCCGGGCCATGCCTGGCTGTTTGGGGAGGCACAGCCTCCCCTAACCAGCCCTCCATACAATTTCCGAAACCCGATGTGGCCCTCAGGCCAAAAAGTTTGCCCACCCCTGCTCTGTGAAGTTGTCTAATTCTTTAATGCCAGAAGTATAACTGGGTTCAACAAATGAATTCTTAGTATACTTAATTTTAAAACAACTTTTGTTCATTTGACTGAATTAATTGCTATTGTCTGTACTCAAGATTGTCTGCTAAAATGTTTACATAGGAAGAGAGCAGAGGAAGGAAGCCTTTAGTTTTAGGTTTTAGCCCATGTAACATGAGAACTCAAATCCTAGTTTGAAAGTTTTAGGGCATGGCCAAGGCTAGTCTAATTTGTAAATCTTGCGAGTTGGTGGAGGCTGGGACAAAATTTCAATTATACTTTCAAACACCTCAATTGAGTCAGAATTTAATGCCAAAAGGACCACCAGATCATCTTGTCTAACCTCCTGTATGTCACAGGCCACCACCCCCACACAGCACCCACACACTAAACCCATCAACCAACATTATACCAAAGTATTACAGCCCACAAGAGACTAGACCAGCGGTTCTCAAAGAGCAGGTCGGGAGCCCAAAGTGAGTCATGATTAGGTTTTAATGGGGTCGCTAGGGTTGGCTTAGACTTGCTGGGGCTCACTGCTTCAGCCCTGTGCAGCAAGGCTCAGGTTACAGGCCCCTGCCTCAGGCTGAAGCCCTGGGGCTTTGGCTTTGACCCCCACTCCACCCAGGGGGGTGGGGCTCAGGCTTTGGCCCTACCACCTGGGATGGTGGGGCTCAGGCTTCGGTCCCCCGTGGGGTTGTGTAGTAATTTTTGTTGTCAGAAGGGGGTCGCAGTGCAGTGAAGTCTGGGAACCTCTGGACTAGATTATGATGTGCCACAGACAGAATAGGAGGTACCTTCTGGTACCCACAGGGTAACACCAAAACTCAGGGATACAACCTTCTCATCAACCCATTATTTTACTGTAAATTAAAAGAAAAAGGGTAATGCAGATGTAGTTGCATGTTCTTTAAATTCCTCTAATCCTATAAACAATAATAATCCTGTTAATTGTTCAACGGATATGCCATCTGTACTCAATCTTCACACTGAAGAAGCTCCCACTCGCTAAGGTTTACACTGTTTAAAAATCACCAACACTGTAGGAAAGTCACAGACACAGTCTTCTTCACATCACTTAGAATATAATTGGGTAACAGAGGAAAACGGCATCGTCTTCTCTTGATGATTTGGTATGCAATAGGCCTTCCAGGCTAAAAATCAAAACATTCCTCTAGATTGTTGGATTATTCCTACGAATGGCTTTGTAAACTCCTCTGTATCGTACAAGTTGTGTGGCCTGTTCTACAGATGCTTCATGGGAGGGTGTGTGTGTGGGGGGGGGGGGAGGGGGGTTGGGAGGGTAGAATCAAACTTAGCTTAAGAACCGATTTATCTTCATGTTCCAAAATGGGGGGGGGGGGGGAAGGAAACTGTTTTCCTTTTCCATCTTCAAGATCAAAGGAGACAGTCAACAGGAAAAAAAGAATCTCAGATTCTTGTGATCAGATGACACTATCAGTGCTAGACTCACATACATAGGTAGGAGGTGGTCTATTTTGCTACTCCATGATTTAAGTTAAATTTCAGTAAGCAACTGTCCAAAAGGTCACTACTAAATGCAAGAACACATCTAAAGCCAAGTTTACTCTTTGGCATGGTTATATGGACAGAATGTGTCTGTCATGTAGATTTCAAGTGGTGTATACTAGAGATGCATGAAATTTTTAGGAGGAAGTTTTTTTTAAACTTTAAAAATATAGATTTGGATAAACTGAAGTATTTCTTGGATTTGTGTTGAATTCACCAAATAGTTTTGGCTAATTAAAAAACAAAAAAAGGGTGACATTCAAAAATGTCAAAATATTTCATTTCAAAATGACATTCCATTTTGGAATTTGGCCACTATAAAAGCCAAGAAGCACCCTAAAATGACCAAATCAAAATGCAACACCCAAACTGTTTCACTTCATTCAAAATGAATTTTTTCCTCAAGTTTTTAAACTTGGGGGGGAGGAGGGGGGAGAAAGAGAAAGATTTTGGTTCAAAGCGAATCAAAATGTTTTTAGGATATTTTTTGGTTCGGTCCCTGTGACCAAGTCCCAGGGAGCCTCACTGAGGCTACTCAATTAGGGTGAACTGCAAAGAATGGGGCAGATAATCCCCAAAGCTGGTGAATATTCCAATACTTAGATTTGCCAAGCCAGCACAAAACAGCTTCTATAACACCTTACTGGTTTCCCAGAAGCCAACAACACAGTGCCCTTAAAGAAACCCAACCTTAGGCCTCCACCCAGACACCCAAGTCAAATATGATGAGGATTACTGAAAATCTTATTCATTAACCTGGGAGGTAATGTGTCTGATCCTTTGGGATTGGTAGAACTTTAATATGACGACTATTTCAGATCGTACCCAAACGCATGCTTACAGCCAATTCTTATTAACTAAACTAAAATTTATTAAAAAAGGAGAGAGCATGAAAGTGAGTGTATTGGTTAAAAGATCAATATACATACAGACATGAGTACAGTTCTGAGATCATATTCATAGTAGAGATGGTGAGTTTTGTAGTTGCAAAGAACTCTTTCAGAATTAGTCCATAGGTTTAGTCCAATGTCCATATTCAGGGTGATCCAGTTAGGACTGGAGATCTGTCTTGTGACTTAAGCTTCCCCTGCATGAAGCATCAAGCAGATCTGATATAAAAAGGATCAGGACCCAAAAGGTTTTTATATAGTTCCAGGCCTTCTCTTGACAAGTCAGAGTCCTTAGGTGAACAATAGGCAATCATGGAGATTTTGAAGTAGACCTATTTCCTAAGCATCACTGGTAATTAGCTACAGATTAACATAATACAATTGCCTGTTTTTCCACCATTCGCAGGTGATTTGCTATACATTTCAAAGAGATGAATAGAGTGATATTACTCTGTTTACAGTTCATTTAAATGTTAAAATGTCTTTTTGATCTCTGAATTAACAAAGAATGAGGAGTACTTGTGGCACCTTAGAAACTAACACATTTATTTGGGCATAAGCTTTCGTGGGCTAAAACCACTTTCCACTTCATCAGATGCATGGAATAGAAAATATGCCAGCAATGCCCCTCTGTCCATGTACACGTACATGGACACAAATCAGACGTCAAGAATTAACAAATTCAAAAGACAGTCGGAGAACACTTCAACCTCCCTGGACATGCAATTACAGACCTAAAAGTTGCAATTCAACAACAAAAACTTTAAAAAAAACGGACTCCAACAAGAAACTGCAGAACTGGAATTAATTTGCGAACTGGACACCATTAAATTAGGCTTGAAGAAAGACTGGGAATGGATGGGTCATTACACAAACTAAAAACTATTTCCCCATGCTAACTTTCCCCCCTACTGTTACTCACACCTTCTTGTCAACTGTTTGAAATGGGCCATCCTGATTATCACTACAAAAGTTTTTTTTCCCTCCTGCTGATAATAGCCCACCTTAATTGATTTGTCTCGTTAGAGTTGGTATGGCAACCCCTGTCTTTTCATGTTCTTTGTATATACATCTTCCTACTGTATTTTCCACTCCATGCATCTGATGAAGTGGGTTTTAGTCCACGAAAGCTTATGCCCAAATAGATTTGTTAGTCTCTAAGGTGCCACAAGTACTCCTTGTTCTTTTTGCTGATACAGACTAACACGGCTACCATTCTGAAACCTGAATTAGCAGAATACAGCACAGACAGGGACTGTTTCATATATATTGTTAGAGGTTAACAATGTCTATGTAAACACAAAAATTATCTACCAAAATGTCTAAGGGTTGAATCTGGATCAATTGGCCAGAAAGGATTAAGCAGCTTGCAAGCTATGTGTCACACTTTGTAGAAGATTCGTTGCAATTATAGAACAGTGGTAGCAACAATGATTTGCATGGTCATACTCTAGTCAGATAATGTCACAGTACCCAAACAGAAAT